CTGCATGCTTACAGCTAATGAAGTTCACACCAGTGGCCCGTCCTAGGCACGCATCATGTTTCTGCAGCTAGTAGGCAATGCAAAGCAGATTTCTCTGCAGCCATCCCAGACTGCTGTATCACGACTAAGCATCCTGGCAGAGAAAGCAAATGGCTGGAGAACCTGGCATCTGTGGACAAGTGGAGCACATTAGATGATAGATAGATAGTACTCTGGTGCTCTGCTTCAGCCCTGGCTCCGCCATCAGGGAGGACGTTTCATGAACAACTCCCATGTGCTGGAGCACAAGCTGCAGGACTCCAAGTATAGGCCCAAGACAAATTCACAACTGAGTTGAATATGTCCCGTGCATTAAATCACTATCAGAGACAGGCCTGTAAGTCTAGAATGTGAATTCCAGAGTTAGGATCAGTGAGTTCGAGCTTAGAAAACACTTGAGTAGAAATATCAAGTCTTTGCTTGAAAAAAAAAGTGTACTATGATGAATGTGAAGTAAATCTATTTTCTTTAAGCACCTTGATTTAGCATTCATGGCTTCCATGTATTTGATTTATAGACCTTGTTCTAGTTTATTAATATTAAGTAATTATGGGATATTTTCCCTCAGCCATACATGGAAAATCAGATCAACTGCGAGGGTACCTTGGGTTCTGTTAGCCACATTCCTGCCATTGGAGCAAAAGTAATTTGGAAGAACTGTAATTATATTTGTGGAAAAAATTCCTTGTGATGTTTGTTTGTTCTACAAATGATACTAATGATAACAAGTGCAATACTTTGTTGTGGGACAGGAAATGTGCAATTTGTTGACTGATATCTATGTAGAGTTTGTTCCATATCATGTAAGATCATTGTTGTATTTACAATATACAATTAAGTGTTTTTAATTATATTTGTTGGAACCTGGATAAATGACCGAGGATTCTAGGAACAAAAGTATTATAAATGTAAAATCATGTTACAAAATAAATAGTTTAATATTTTTCTCTTTAAGAGGAAAATCGATTTAAAAAACAGAATCATTAATCTCTTCTCTGTACTTTGAACTATTGTACAGATTATGTAGTTATTTGAAGATTCCATTTGAAATAATCTGTGTAGTTATTTTCAAGTATTTTTGTCCAAATATTTAGAATATAATCAATATATTTTAGTTCTGCAGAGTTAAATGTAAAGATGGTAAAGATGATATATTTAAATTTTACCATTTAAAATGTAAATGTAAAATTTTTACATCAAAAATAGTTGATGTAATTGTCGTATTTTTAGTAAGTGAATGGTTACATCACAAACTCTCCAACCAAGCTTCCTCTCCTGAAACTGTCTGGATTTTCAAATACAGGCTGTTTGAATTAGCCTCTTAAATTCATATCTAGCAGCTAGTCTGATAGCGTATTATCTTAAGCCTTGGTATTCAGCAGCCCCTTTACTGATTTAATTCCTAATTTGAGAAATCTTGCTTGACTTTTATTCTTTTTTCAGCATGACTGATATTGATACTTTAATCTTGATTTATGCAATGCTAAATATAAAATATTTCAGTAATGAGAAGTGAATCACTTTAGTGCTGTCCCACAAACTAGTAGAGGGAAGAACGCTATTTAAAGAAGCCAATTTTAATATAAAAAAATAAGTTTAGTTGAAAATTAAGGTGGAAATCTCATGCCCTTTTAAAGGGCACAGTACAGTACAAAAGATCTGAAATGTTGTCCAAAAAAAAAACCCAAAAACTTATTCCAGTCCCTGTTAGGACTGAACCTGCAAGTGCTAATCACATGCTGCCTTTAGCTGAGAGCACGTAATAGCAGCTGAGAGGCACTTGGCATCTTGCAAGATCTCAGCTCCCTGAGCACCACACTGAACTAGAAAGGGAGCAGCATTGCGTAAATCTGAAATTTGCAGTCTTGAAACCCTTCTGCACTGCAGGCAATTGGTACTTGTTCAAGTAGAGCGCACGGCTGTGCAAAGGCCAGTGGGAGGAGGAGATGCTCATTACAGGAGGCAAATCATTATAAGAATGGACTGGTATAAAAGGTCATTTCTCCGTGGTTTTTACTAACGTTTGTGTGTGGATGTTTTAATTTTTATTTCTTCCTTCTATGTCCTCCTTGTCTATGTTGTGTCTCATGACTGTTCTGGATTATCACTTGCGGTAGGTTTTTCTTGCTATTTGGACGCACCTAGTCTAAGGTGTTCTGACAGCTCTGGCTCCTCAGCTGAGATTTATACGTAGCTTTGACACACACATCAAGAGGCTGAACTAAATTGATTGCGTATTTTCTTTGAGGGGGGCGAGGGGTGCAAGAAGAGGCAGTAGAAAAAAATCGTCTTTTTTCTCTATAGTTAAAACTTATTCCATCAAACTGTACTAGAAAGCTCAAGTTTAAAATCAGTAAGCACATAAAAATAACTTGTGAGTTTTATTTCCATTTTTGTATAAATGCCACCATATTAAATGTAGGCTAAAGCAATATGTATTTTTAATGTCTTTTTCTTAGTGTCACTAAAATGACTGATACCTCATGAAAATTGCTGAGGGCTCTCTCGTCATCACATACAGTGTGCACAAGTTACATTCTTAATCAAAGTATGCTCCTTACCAAACTGTTTTAAACAGTCCTACTCCAGAATTGTGTTGGAGTACCTGTGTGAAGACAAGCAAGAGCACTTCTAGAACACCTTCCCATCACAGTTTTCATCTTTAGAGTTTTCCAGGACCTGCCATGCCTTTAATGTCTCCCACATTTTTTTTTCTTCAGAAAAAAAAGGACAGCAAGTGCTCAGCTCTAGACATACTGTAATAGCTGCTGATTTATTGGGTCTGAGTTTAATGCATTAGTACAGCAAAATTCTTGCTTAAGCTCAGCCTGTAGGCTATGGAAAGGAAGAGACTTAATCATTTAAGTCATGTACAGTGGAACTGAAAAATTACTAAAATTTAGCCTTTTTGCTTGGAGAATAATTGCTGCGGTGGTCTGAACCTTTTATTAGGTCACAACACATTTGTGGAGAAGGAGATTTAATATCTCAGTCACTTCTCATTGCATCAGGTTGAAACACAGTCACAAGTGCAAGATTTTGGTTTTACAGAGAATGAGTCTGTCTGTTAGGTGAAACGGGAGATTTGGGGTCAGCATATGGAGTATCCCCTGGAGTGTACCGAGTATATTCTTAGCTCTGCTGCTGTCTTGTTGTGGCCTTCCATCAGTCATCCGACTTCTCTGCGTGTTTTCCTTCTATATAGGCTTTCTTTGTACATTGGGATAATAATGCCAACCTCATCAGAATGGTCTGATTAATGTTCATG